ATCTTCTCAAACTATCTTTCTTTTTCTTTGATTTTAGGGTTATAGCTTACCACATTTTTGACAAAAGATCACATAAGTTTTAGCTTCTTAAAAAGTAGTTATGTGCATTGTAACTGACTGGCAAAACAGGATACGTGGCTGTGGCATTTAACTATTTATTTACCTAAGTAATAATAATAATAACAACAACTGAATTGATAAGAGCAGTTCAGTGTTATTAAATTTTCATTGCATTTTTTTCTTTCCAAATAATTTAACCAGAGAGGGAAAACCTACAAAAAAAAAAGCATTGTAACATATTAGTAAAGAACAGATAATAAAAATATAATAGATAACAAAAACTTATCACAAAGTTGATGTTTAGAATTGAAATTGCAATTCCACAATACGTTTTTAACACACATGCACTTGAACTATACTAAATCAGATTAAAAAGCTATTAAATTGATCTCAATATTAAAATAAATAATGATTTCTACAAACAGGCAACATAGCAAATAGATTAGTTGTAAGAAAGATAAATTGTACATGGTAGTTAATAACATTTAATTGAAAAGTAATTGCTGAAAGATAAAACAAAATTTAATCCTACTTACAATCAGCATTTCTTATAGATTGTTTTTTCTTTGAAGGTTTGGAAATAACTTTGATTCTTTTACTATGAAATACACTAATATCTTCACCAGTGCCATAAAACATTTTTACAGAAAGCTTGAAATGTTTTCTTTTGTCAGAATCACTTATGTACAAAGATTTGGCTACCTTGATTTATTACTTTGAAAATGACAAATGATGAATTATAATGAAATATTAAATAATTATAATTAAATTTTAGAATATAAAAAACATTAGAATATAACAAACTTCGGAATAAATATCAGGAATCAATAATAATAAAATGTTATTATTATTTTCAGTTTACTAAGATATCCAAATATAACAAGTGTTAGGAGTTTTAATGCTCAGTAACTAATGCATTAAATACAATGAAATTTAGTTGTTTTATCATAGAAATAAAGCAAAAAATACCATTAAAAATATGTTTTTTCCCTAACAATCTTCAAAAAAAAAAAATAATAATAATAATATAATATATTAGAGAAAATAATAAAATTATTAATTCTAAAGTCCCTTAATGCAAAACAAGAGTGAAGGATGATTTTAAAAATTGAATTATTTTCAAACATCAAAAAAAATTTTTAAATTCTTGAATTTCCAGAAACTTGCTTCGAATTGTCTAAGACAAATTTGTTTAATATTTTACGTAATTTATTAAAACAGTTAACAACGTTACAAATACCCCTTGAAACTTTGAATAGAACAGTATTCAATTAACAAAATTATTCAATGCGAAATAAGATCATGGTTTATAATAAATAAGTAAAATTTTTTAACTACACAAAATACCATGAAATCAACAGAATTTTCCAACATCTAGAGCAAAATCAGTGCATAAATGAAATAGAAATCAATACCATTTTTCTTTTAACTTAAAGATTTCTTCAAATTTAAATGGAATGAAAAAAATAATGATATCAATTCTGTTAAAATTATTTGTGTTTTTGAATCATGTGAACAATTTTTACACAGCTCTGCCTTAAATTTGCACGGTTTCACCCAACAGGCTTGCTCGTGTGGCAAGTGACATTAGAAACAACATTTTTACACAATAGTGATAATAAAGAAATTGTGTTTTTTGCTCTTTCTTATTCAATGTTTTCATTCAAAATTTACCCTATAATAATTATTTTACTATACACTAAACTCCTCTTTAACTGTGAGTGGATTATTCACTTCAGTTTATCACACACAGTATCACAATATCACAGGAAAAAATTTCCTGTTCATTAAATATTTCAATAAATACAATTCACAAATATTTATTTTACTGAACTAGATGATCCACGAATGAACCTGATCAACATCAATGTTCGTTAATAATACTAAGTTAAATAAATGTTAAATGATATTAAAAATAAGCAAGCAGACAATCTTTCAATTCTATATGCTGATAATTTATAAATTTCTATTCATAAATTTTCATTGAATTTGAAAACTGTTACTTTTTGCTTGGTAACAAAAAGGTTAAGTTTTTCTCCACCAATACTTGAAATAATTTAAAAAGTTATATTAAGAATCAGCTAGACTTATTGCCTTGTTTTTAAGTTCTGATAAAAGTTGTGCCAACATTCTATTTGTTTTAAAAATTTTACTTAAATTTAAGAAAAATGAAAAGCAGCATGATGTAAATTTTATAAAATATACATTAAAAAAGAAAAGTAAATCAATAAATAAAAAGACTTAAGTTTTTACACAATGAGTACTTGCTTTGCCATTGAAATCTAACTGTTGCATTTCTTGATCAGAATTTCCAATCCCAATGAAAGCGCATAATTGAGAGCCTTGCTCACTTTCACCATCTCGAACTATTTGCTCCTGTTTTTTCCTCCAACCATCTCCAAGTAGATAGATAGATGGGGGAGGGCAAAAAAAACCTAAAAATGCATGATTTTGTACGTCAGCAGTTTTAAAAGCAATAAAATTACAGTCATACATCTACATTACAAATTCAAAGAGAAAGCGAAAAAATATGTTAATGAATGAAAACGGTAATTTGTTTAACATTTTCACCAAAATAATAACTGTGTTGGCCTTTTAAATTTTATAAAGCACGTATTTGCCTCAAACAGTTACTTCTGACATAGCCAAATTTTCTGACATAACCAAATTTTGCAACAAAAAATAAGAACCTTCTAAGCCTTTTATAAATATTTTGTGAAATAAAATATTTGGCTATCAAAAGGAGTCTCCCCCCCCCCTTCACCGCTAGAAAAACAAATGTAATTCAAGTTCATGATATACAGGTTTAACTATAATTTTAATTTATGAAAGAAAAAAATAACATTTTTACCTTTTTTCACTGCCATATGATTATGATATGATAAAAGCTCTTCCGCCAAGAAAAATAAAATACACTAGCTTAAATGATTTAAACTTTAAGTAAAGCTTCAGTTTCATAAGATACGTAATCTTTCAGGTAGGAATTAACTAGATTGTATTTTACCATATGTAACATATTTTAAAAATATACTTAATCTTTCAGGTAGGAATTAACTAGATTGCATTTTAACATATTTTAAAAATATACTAATGGGTGATATTTTTCTCCCCTGTGGCATCCATTAGTATATTTTTATTATTAGTATTAGCATATTGTCACAGAACAATACCGAGTTCTTGTAAAAAGATTTTTCTGCTAGGAAGTAAATAATTTTGGTTTTCTTCTCAGCAGAAATTTTCATGCTAGTAATTTTTTTATTTAGTTATTACTTTTGATTTCACATAGTTTTTAAAATCCTATATTACTAATTTGATATTATTTATTACAGCAACTGATTCTTGAAATGAAAACACGCATTTAGTAACCCTTTTTCGAAGAACCCGATTCGCGTAATTTCGCTTCAATCTTTTTTTTCCCCCGGTAGTTACTGCTATGGATTTCACAACTTTTTATGATTTTCTTTTAATGCAATGAGAATTAACAAAATTGCTTAAAAGGAAATTATTAGTGTGTTTCCCCCCTTCAAAATGCAAGAATATCTGCCATATTATTAGATTTAAAAAAAAAAAAAAATTTAAGTTGACGTTTCCATGTTTGTTTTTTTTCCCCACCTAAATTAAAACCATTATAAAAGAATAATTTAAATTATTAATAAATAATCTAATTAATAAGAAATAAAAAAAATTACTTCTCTCACATTATTTATTTTAATTTTTACCTGAAAAACTAATCTATATGGATAGTGATAAGTCTAAAAGCTACTTAAAAATCACAGTACAGAAAATGAATACGATTTTCAACACACCCAAAACAAATCCATTTGTTTAAGAGACCATTTATAACCAAGAGTTAAATCAATCCAGTGATGAAGTCGTTCAGATACACGAGAGCTTTCTGAGATCGTAAAAAAAAATCTGGTATATATTCATCTGGTGTCCCTTCCTGTGAAAGAATAAAAAGTTTGAATGAGAAACTTTATTGCAGTGGACAGTGACTATAAACGTGTAACGACTATAATCATATAATTTTTCTAACTGAACACACGTTTATTACATCAAAACTAGCAATATATGTGCTTTTATCTCATTCTTCATGCATAATTTTTTAAAATAATTTTTGTATCTTTTACCTGAATCTAACAAAAAAGTGTGTCCACAACATAAAACAATAGAAAAAAAATTTTCTTTAAAAGGTTCTTTTTACACAGAAATAAAAATTCACTTTTTTCTACTGTCCTTTCTTTATCAATGATTACCACATTCAAAGGGTTTTCGACTATCCACCTATCATTATTTTGTCGAATCTTCCAACCCGATTTAAGTAATTAAATAAAAAACAGAATTCACAGTATTGTTGCTTCATAATTATTACAAAATGTGAAAAACACAGAAGGGTGGTATTTAATAAATTACTAAAAAATGTTTAAAAAATAATGCAGTGTATCTGTGTTTAATCCTGTATTTTAATAAGTGAAAATATAGTATTTTAACGTAAAGTTGACTTTTTTTCGCAATGAAATGCATGCAGAACATTTGTATAAGTTAATAAGTCCTGTTGCAGAACATTTGAAAATATTCTGCTTATGGGGATTTCACAACTTTTTTATGATTTTCTTTTAATGCAATGAGAATAAACAAAATTGCTTAAAAGGAAATTATTAGTGTATTTCCCCCCTACAAAATGCAAGAATATCTGCCATATTATTAGATTTTAAAAAAAAAAAAAAAAATTTAAGTTGACGTTTCCATGTTCGTTTTTTTTCCCCACCTAAATTAAAACCATTATAGAATAATTTAAATTATTAATAAATAATTTAATTAATAAGAAATAAAAAAAATTAGTTCTCTCACATTATTTATTTTAATTTATACCTGAAAAACTAATCTATATGGACAGTGATAAGTCTAAAAGCTACTTAAAAATCACAGTACAGAAAATGAATACGATTTTCAACACACCAAAAACAAATCCATTTGTTTCAGAGACCATTTATAACCAAGAGTTAAATCAATCCAGTGATGAAGTCGTTCAGATACACGAGAGCTTTCTGAGATCGTAAAAAAAATCTGGTATATATTCATCTGGTGTCCATTCCTGTGAAAGAATAAAAAGTTTGAATGAGAAACTTTATTGCAGTGGACAGTGACTATAAACGTGTAACGACTATATTCATATAATTTTTCTAACTGAACACACGTTTATTACATCAAAACTAGCAATATATGTGCTTTTATCTCATTCCTCATGCATAATTTTTCAAAATAATTTTTGTATCTTTTACCTGAATCTAACAAAAAAGTGTGTCCACAATATAAAACAATAGAAAAAAATTTTCTTTAAAAGGTTCTTTTTTAAAATGTGGGCTCAAAAACCAATGGGCAAAATGAAAGTGGGTCTTTCTTGAGAAAAAAGGAAAATATAGTAAACAAAATTTTTTATTCCAGATTGTCAAGAAATTTTGGATTGGTAATGGTTACGAATATTTACTGGCGAAAGCTTATTTTTTCCAGGACATTGAAAAAAAATGAATAAAACCGAAATAAATTGAATGAAATGGGTGATAGTAAAAATAGCCAAATAGAATTGTTTAGCAATCTGTTCCTACATAAACATATTTGAATTTAAATAAATTACAATTTAATATAACAACAGGAAATGTAGTTTTTTTACATTTCTTTTTTAAAATAACTATACTTGTATTATTAAGTTTTATACAAAATTATAAAACCTATATAATTTCGAATTCAAGAGTTGTTTTGAGTACTATTCATACTTCACAGTATTTCATTATAAAAATTACTATTCTATTTACGATATCAAAATACGATTTGAAGTAGAAAATGCAATAAGCATGGTATACCACTCAAAGATTAAATTAGTTCCATGACTAATTTAAACATTTAGTGGGTGGAAATAAAACTAACCAAGCATATAGCTTCATCAAAAGCATACCATACTGCTTAATGTTCTTTAAAGGAATTCCCAAGAGACGATAGATTTCTTAAATGAGGTCCATTCTTCATAGACTTATAAAAATAGAAAATTTTAATCTCATTTCTCGAAGCTGATTGAAAAAACAAAAAATTAAATTTTCTGCCAAATTTGTATTCAGTTTGTTTTGATTACGACGTTTCTGACCTTCTATTTCTGTTACATGAGTTCTTTAAGCTTAAATTTTAAATAATGGCTAAAGCATCTAGCTCACCCGTTGTTTAACCTCAAGGGACATTCTCACTGTTTAAGAAAAATTCGCGAATGGGAGACAGAGATTTGAAGCATAACCTGGTAAATGAAATCCTTTAACTAGAAAGGCTAAAATAAAACACTTGGGTATGGAGAAATATTAAAAACGGCAGAGAAAATATGTATTGAAAGTTTTACAGACTTGCCATCACAGTTTGGACTTTTTGGAGAGGGGGTTAGATAGTTTCCATGACACTGGTTGGGATCATAGGTTCGCGTGCTTTCTGACAGCCCTGTCAAAATACTGTGGTTTGGAGTATAGTAGCGAGACTTCGCTGACCTAAAGATTAATGAAGCTAGAAGATTAAAGAAAATGACATAAATTATTACTTTTTATTTTTTAATAATAAAAATTAATTTTTTGATAATGCAATTAAATTGTAATTTATCTTTTCTTTGAAGAGGGAAATACCTTTGAAGAGTCACTCCATGACTTGTTTAGAACATTAATACAAAAAAATTCGCAAATATAATTATTACAAAAAATGTAGAAAACTATTGAAACTCAAAATCTAAAAATTGTGAACAGGATTCTGCTCACAATTTTCACTGCATTCGAATGCAGTGAAAGACTTTTCTACAAATAATACAAAAAGAGTGGTTTTAAACTATTATTCTTTTATTTAACTTTCTTTTATTTCACTTTCTTTTATTTAACGTACTTCTACAAACGCATTTAAAACTTTTCTTTTAACTCTAAGTTTCCAAACATTTACACTTGGTCTAAGGAAAAGTCAAAAGGGGTGTCTTAACTAAAATTAAAATTTCTGAAGGAAAAGAAAATGCAAAATTTTTTAAGTATTACTTGCTTGTTAAAATCTTTAACATTTTTGAATCATACTTCGCGCTCCCTTAATTTTGAAAACATTTCTTTATTTTCTGAAAATATATTTTGATTCGAAAATTGTTTTTTTCATATTCATTACATCAAACTAAAAATTTTCATAATTTTTTTTATATCTACCCTAAAGATTGGCATCACTACAGAAAAAAAAGCAACTAAAGCTTAATTCAAGACAAAAAATTTAAAAAAATGCTTTTTAAATAACATTTTCCAATTTATAAATGTTCAGGTTCTATTGATCTGATTGCTTTAACTCATTTTCGGTTAAAGCAAGGTGCGTAAAAACACCATTTCAATAAACATTTTTTTTATTAACACTGTGATGTATATTTTTCACTAATTTTATTCAATTCGACTTTTTGAAAATGTATAATTATTCCCTTTAAGATTGATCCTATGTTTTCATGACGGAAAAGAGTTGAGCGTTCAGTATATAAAATAAAAATATAACAAATTTCATGAAAAAATAGCTAATGTTCAACTAATGGTTTGTCCATTGACTTGGCTACAGCCCCTGAATTAGACAGGCCGACTCATCATCTATTTTTGCTCCAAAGAGCTAACATAAGCTCAATACTAACATAACGTTAACTTGCGAACTTTTTTGCTCCAATATTGCTTGATAGGTCAGCTCTGATAATATAGGAGCCTTAGATTTGGCCAATGGTGCATGCACGCAACGTTTTATTTTTTAAATAAAAAATTATTATTCATACACGAAAGTTTTTTTTGTGCCATAATTTCTGTATCTTAAGCATATTTCAATCTAAAAAATATCACTTGCCACTCAATAATTTTCTAAAATCTCAGATTATTATTTTTGTAATTAGATCTATTAAAAAAGCCCAGAAAGAACTAGTTTTTCATTAATCAGTTTAAATCGTTCTTTATGGTTTAATTAGGCATTTTTTCCCGTTATAAATTTTTCAGGTGTGTTAGTGCGATATTTAATTTTTGTAACTGAGAACATAAAATTGTACACAGTAACTGAACAGTCAGTTTTAAATTCATAAATTATTGATTTCTACACATAAGACTTGATATACTGTTTAATTTTTCAATTCTTAACGTTGAAAATTTTCTTACCTGAGAAGAAATTTCCTTTTTTATTACTAATTAATTTAAATTTTAGCGTACTATTTTTGGTAATATTTAAATAGTATGTGTTCTAAAATGCACTTCGGGACAATTGCTAAGGACGGATGATAATAGCAACGATGCCAACCACAAAATTGAGGAAAATTAGATTAAGTGTGCAATAAAAGAAAATTAAATAAAAGAGAATTTTTCTTGGATTTGTATTTCAATTCAGGTAAAAAATTTAAAACGAAATAAAAACTTGAAATATAATTGGTAACAACAACAGACAAGAGAAAAATATCTAAAAAGGAAAGAAAGTCATCAAAGGCAGCTGGATTGAAAATCAGCTATCCGGTTTCACCCTAAGCTCCTGAATTTTTCTTGGGACATTCATCTTCTTTTAGATGCACCTTGATAATTTTTTTTAAAATTTTTTTTCAGCACATGCGCTGTATAAAGCAACTACTTCAATTACTTTTATTTGGCGCAGTTTTTATTACTATTTTTTTTTAATTTTAAAGCAATAATTTCGTAATCAGTTTAAAATTGATTCAAACGCTTTGTTTAATTTTTTTTAAATAAGCTATAGCAAAAGTGGAACTAGACCTAGTATATATTTCGGACATTTATCAGATCTAGTCATACTAGATCTGGATAAGTGCCATTGCAAGGTATACCCTACACTGATGTTTTTTTAAGGTCAAGTGCCACTGCCCGGTATACCCTACACTGATGTTTTTTAAGGTTAAGTGCCACTGCCCGGCATACATTTGCCCTGTATACCCTACACTGATGTTTTTTTAAGGTCAAGTGCCACTGNCGTTGAAAATTTTCTTACCTGAGAAGAAATTTCCTTTTTTATTACTAATTAATTTAAATTTTAGCGTACTATTTTTGGTAATATTTAAATAGTATGTGTTCTAAAATGCACTTCGGGACAATTGCTAAGGACGGATGATAATAGCAACGATGCCAACCACAAAATTGAGGAAAATTAGATTAAGTGTGCAATAAAAGAAAATTAAATAAAAGAGAATTTTTCTTGGATTTGTATTTCAATTCAGGTAAAAAATTTAAAACGAAATAAAAACTTGAAATATAATTGGTAACAACAACAGACAAGAGAAAAATATCTAAAAAGGAAAGAAAGTCATCAAAGGCCGCTGGATTGAAAATCAGCTATCCGGTTTCACCCTAAGCTCCAGAATTTTTCTTGGGATATTCATCTTCTTTTAGATGCACCTTGATAATTTTTTTTAAAATTTTTTTCCGCACATGGGCTGTATAAAGCAACTACTTCAATTACTCTTATTTGGCGCAGTTTTTATTATTATTTTTGTTTAATTTTAAAGCAATAATTTCGTTATCAGTTTAAAATTGATTCAAACGCTTTGATTAATTTTTTTTAAATAAGCTATAGCAAAAGTGGCACTAGACCTAGTATATATTTCGGACATTTATCAAAGATCTAGTCATACTAGGTCTGGATAAGTGCCATTGCAAGGTATACCCTACACTGATGATTTTTTAAGGTCAAGTGCCACTGCCCGGTATACCCTACACTGATGTTTTTTTAAGGTCAAGTGCCATTGCCCGGCGGCACTGACGTTTTTTAAGCTAAATGTTCGCGGCGCAGGCGTATGAATCATGGCGCAGTTGGTAAAGCTGTGTGGCAAGTTAGATTTATTATCCCGGGGGCCATGGGTTCGAAACCCTGCGAGGGTCGATATTCAAATTTTTTCTTCATATTATTTTTTTAAATATATTTTTGGATATTTTAACCTGAATCAAGTGTTCTGTATATAAAAAAAGCTATTTTTTCTTTGGGAGATATCGAATAATAGCTAATAATCGGAAAAATTT